TGCCTATAATCTCAGCTACTCAGGAGGCAAAGCCAGAGAATTGAGAGTTCAAGGTCATTCTGGGCAAACCCTATCTCAAAAAAAAATAATATAGATAAAAACAGACTGAAGCGTGGGTCAGTAACAAGCTCGAGACTCTGGGTTCGACTCCTAGTACTGCAAAAACAGAACAAACACAAGAAGACACAAGCTCAAAATGAAATTCACTATGAAAGCCCCATTACGCATCATAGCTCTGGAAAATGCCATTGTACACTTGTGAGAGAATGAGAGTGAAAAGGCAAAAAATAGTTTAGGGGCATTATGAAAATAATTTTGATACTGATCCCAGGCCTGCTATTTGAGAACAACTGGTTTAGAAGAATCAGCCCTTGGTTGGTGACTGTCCTAGTTCAGGGTCTTTTAGTTGTAGGAAACTCAATGGTTTAAGCAAAAATAAGAAGGATTTGAAAAGCTGCTGGGTCATTGCCCCAAACTTCAGTGATCTCTGAAGATCCAAACCATGGGAAGGGCAGGAAGGACTCAGGAGGGAAAGAGTAAGGAACACAGGCCACTTCTGGTCTCTACTTTTCCCTCCTAATGACTTGGCTTTCCTGAACCTCTGTGCACAGGGCCCCATTGCTCCTGAGTTTATGGGTCCCTACAGTTCAGGTGGCTTGTGTGACAGAAGTCACTGCTTTCCAATTCCAAGTCATTGGGGATAGAATCTGAATGTTCCAGCTTGAAGGTAGCATCTGATTGGCCCAGTGGTCAGTTGACTACTCCTGAGCAGCCAATCAGCTGTGGCCAGTGGGGTACCAATCATGGCTGCCATGGCCCCACTGCTCTGTGAAAGGAAAGTAGGCAGTTCTCAAGGACTCAAGATATGTTTCTTTTGGAGAGTCAGCTTCAGAGTTTTCTGTAACAGAGTCTGGAAACCCTGTGTCCTGCTGCTTCTACCGGATCTGTGACTGTAGACATGTCATGGATTCTCTCAGAACCTGTTTCTTCAAATGACAAATAAGAATAATAACACTATTGGCCTCACTTGTAGGGTTATTTATAGAATTACCTGAGCTAACTAACGTCCGTGCAAAGCTCAGTATATGCCCAGCACAGTGTTGAGGGTTAGGGTTTCATAATAATTTTTCAATGCTGTCTTTGTCTGCAAGACAAAAACCAAATTGAGAAGATGCTAAAATCTTTGATACAGTGAGAAGACAGCAGGCTTCTGACCATGCACTAACCAAAGGCAACAGGAATCCAGAGATGAGAGATCAACCCGAGGGGAAAATAATTTCTTGAGCACTTCCTGTGGTCTCAGTGCTGTCCCTGTGGTTTCACACCCTTAACTCCAGCCCTTTTGACAACTCAACTGCAGAGGCGTTGCTGTACCCATTTCATAAATGAGAAAACTTAAAGCTTAGAGAAGTAACTTGCCCAAGACCCATCACTGGTGCTGTGGTCTGGATATGGGTTGAGTGTCCTCCAAGACTTCATGTGCTGAACTGTAATCCCCACTGTCAGGTGTTGAGAGGGTGGAGACTTCATCTGACTATGGTGTGGAGAGGTGGTGCCTTTGGGGAATGCCTAGGATCAGATAAGGTCATCACGCAGCTTCCTTTATTGAATCCCAGAGAGTATATAAGAAGAGGGAGAGAAGACTTGTGCTGGTGGCTCACTCCTATAATCCTAGCTGTCTGTGATTGGGAAGATGGAGGTTTGAAGCTAGTTCATGAATATAGTTCATGAGACCGCATTTCCAAAATAACCAGAGAAAAATGGATGTGGCTCAAGCAGTAGAGCTTCTGCTTTGCAAGCACGAAGCCCTGAGTTCAAAAAAGAAAAAAAGGAGAGACGTATACATCTCCGTCTCATGTCATGATGCTCTCTGCTGCCTGGGGATTTTGGCAGCAAGAATGCCATCACCAGATAAAGCCCTTAGGCCTTGCACTTCTAGAACCATGAGATGAAATGAACTTTTTTTTCTTATAAAACACCCACCACAGTTGTTTTCCTATAGTGACAAAAAACTAATACGACTAGAGTTTAAATGCATGTCTGTCAGACTTTAAAGCAATGATGTTTTCACTTACCATTGTGGCAAGAGGATGATTTTAGGAAGGGTGGAATGATTAGCAGGGTTGGAGAAGAGATTGGATGTGGATGGACAGTGGAGAGGCTGGCCATGACACTGGTCAATAAAAACAAAGATGTGGCCCGGAGTGGCTAAAGTGGTAGAGCACCTGCCTAGCAAGCGTCGGGCCCTGAGTTTAAGCCCCAGTGCCACAAAACAAAACCAAAACCAAAGACATGGACATAGCCTGAGCCTGGGATGTGGAAGAGGGTTGTGGGTGGCAATGAAAGAATGTGTGAATGAAGGAATGGCCCCAGGCTCCAGTTGTCTCAGTGGCTAGGCAGTCATTCAGGGTAGGTTGGGCTGGCAGGGTCAAGGTAGGACACTGGCTGGTCAGTTCCCTGAGCAGTTCAGGATCAGCTGAGCTCCGGCATAGAAAGGAATTGCAAAACCTGTTATGGCCTTTTAGGGGAGAGATAATTGCATTTGGATACAAAGAATGAAGAACACCAAAAATGATCCCCTCACTGCCTGCCTGATGGATTGATTCATTTCTTTGGCAATCAGTTAAGGGTTGCTTGTGGGGCTGGCTCTGTGCCTGATTCCAAGAATAGTGGTGACTTAAATCGATGAATCTCCACCTCACATGGGTTTGAAAATCCACAAGTAAACCAACACATATATAATTTGGTGCCAGCATTGTGATGAAACAAAGTAGGGTAGAGGAAAGAGAACAAAAAAAAAAAGACAGTATGAGTGGACATCCACTGGGCAGGGAGGGCCTTTTGGATGAGGCCATGATTGCTGTTTGCAGTTGGGGAAACTGAGGCACAGGGAGTGTGGGATCATGTACTCCAACTGGTCAGCCTTACAGCAGGGGAATGCAAGCTTGGCTTTCTGTGGGGCCGCCTCTTCCCCCTGGCAGTGCCCCCAAAGCTTGGCGCTTCAGCTCTACCCAGCTCTTCCTCTTCTCCCTTGAGCTGTTGCTGGTCTCCCACAGCCCCTCCCACATCTGCGGTGGCCTTGTCATTCTGCTTGACTTGCTTTCACTTGCTCAGAAGTAGCTGTGACAGGGCCGTGGGCTGCACACATCAAACTGTCCCTGGCTTCACTGTGGCGACGTGTGTGGGGGGGCAGGACAGGAAGGGTGAGCACTTTTGGCATCACAGACCCAACGCCTGTCAGCGCCCTGGGGTGATGGCCAGTGCCCATGGGTTCTCTTGGTCAGCTCTGGGAGGAAGACTGCTGGCTGTCAATGTGTGGGAGATAGGGACAGGAGGGGATGGAATTTTGTTATTTGTTTTAGAGAGAGACAAGCTGAGGAGGTGGCAGAGGCAGTAGCTTGGCAAGTGGGGTTGGTTGTGAAGAGTGTGTGTTTTGAGATTGTGGGAGAGTACTGCAAATCTAGGATATTCCTCGGTGGGGTTTATGCACTTGTGTGTGTGTGTGTGTGTGCACACGCACTCGTGAATCCCAGGCCAGGTCCTAGAACAGCCCCATTTTCCCTCTACCCAGGCTGTTGGCTCTTCTTCTGTCCCCAAAGACCTTAGCTGGCCCTTTCTTTGGCTGGGAGTTGACTGGTACTCATCACCAAAGAATGACCCAGAGGAGGTAGGGTGCCACACACGTGACAGTGTGGGACTAACACAGGTTTAAAAATAAACCTTGTTGCCTTCCTGTAGCCACTGTCCTGGGGGGCAGAGCTGCCAGCAGCCGTAGGGGCTGGTCTCCATTATTTCTGAAGGTGAGTACATCCTTCCGTCCCTGCAAGTTAGCTGGCCCTTCATGGGAGATGCTCACAGGGTGGGGGTATGGAGTCCAGCCTTAGGACATCATCAGAGTTAAGGCTGTAGTCACTGGCTGGAAGTCCAAGGCCAACCACACAGAAAAGCCTCAGTTGAAGCCCACCCCTACTGAGAATTCCAAGCATGGAGGGGGAAGCGGGGCTCCCTTGTGCCTGTGGTTTTGCCTTGGCCCTGGATGCTAGGCCTGGCTGGCTCGTGGGACCCTTGTAGTGTGGGCATTATGGGCACAGGAGCCTGGGGTGACAACTGAAATTGTACTTCCTGCCCTTTAGGGCTTGATCCCAGTTCATCACAAGCTGATTAGTGGAGGTATGCTGTGTTAGACTTTTTGTCAGTGTGGCAAAATATCTGACTTAAAGGAGGATTTATTTTGGCTCACAGTTTCAGAGATTTCAGTCTGTGGTCGGCTTGCTCCATTGCTGTGGGCCTGTGGTAAGGTAGCATCATGATAGCTAGAGTGTGTTAGAACAACGGGGTTCAGCTCATGGTGGTCAGGAAGCAGGGAGGGGCAGGAGGAAGGGGACAGGGAGAAGATATAACTTTCAAAGGCATTTGCCTCCCCACCCCCTTCCAGTGGCCTACTTCCTCCTGGCAGTCCCCAACTCCCAAAAGTTTCCACCACCTCCCAAAATAGTACCCCTCTCCCCACCGCTGGGCGTCAAGCCTTCGACACATGAGCCCTGGGGGACATTTCATATTCAAAGCATAACTTGGGCTTTTTTAGAAGTCAGACCATCCTGTGTTCATGTTCTGATTCTGCACTTGTACCATCTCTGTGTCTGCTGCACCGTGTCGCAGAGGGAGCTCTTCCTCTATTGGCCATCACCCTTGGGTAAATTACTTCATCTCTTGTTGCTTCAGTCCCCCATCTGTAAAACGGGGAGCATAGTGGTACTTTTATCTTGGAGCAGTTGTGAAGACTTAATGAGATGGTCCGGGTGAGTAGCTGTGTGATTTGGGGCAAGTTTCCTAACCTTTCTGGGCCTCTGTTTCCTTGGCTATGAAGTTGGTGTTGGTCCAAAAGCTGTGATGAAGATGGCGTGAGGAGACACAGGCGACCCTCTCAGGGCCTCGCAGAGTGCGTGCTCAGAAGCCGAGTATCATAGTAACAAATGCCCTATACCCTTATGTTTCTCCAGGCTCGTGGTTCTGCAGGAGGCAGGAGGAGGCACGACGCCGCCTCTCAGGAAGACCATGACAAACCCTACGTCTGTGACAGTAAGTACAGCCTCCTCTGCCCTGCTCCTGGCCCCTCCCATGCCTGTGCTTCCTTGGCTGCCTGCCCACCAACTCTTGGACCTCCCCAGACTTGTTTTTGTGCACCTCCACTACGGTCACCCACTCCTCTTGCTGCTGATCAGACTGGGCGTCTGTGCGTGAGCGCCATGTCTGTCGGGGGCCTCTTGCCTTGATGCTGTGATCTTTTGGATGATAGTTGCCTTCTTTGTGGCCTTCCTTGGGCTCTCTATCCTTCACTCTCTCCATCTCTTTTAAGATTCATCCCCTATTTCTTTCTTGATTTCAGAGACTTACGAACAAAAGCATAACTCAAAACCCTCTGACAAAGGTACTTGGCTCTTGTGGCTTTCTATTTGTTTCCCTTTAATTTCCTTTCTCTCTCTCTCCTGTCCTAGTAGGGCAAGTTATGAATCTCTGTATGGCGCTGATTTTCTTTAACAAATGGCCTTCCATCCATCTCCAGCCTTTCTTGCTTGCTTCAGAAACATGTTTTGGACAAGCAACAGCCTGGCTCCTGGGTTAGGGTCTGCAGACAGAGCCGGGGGGATCTGAGGGAGAGGAGTAGAGGCTTTCAGCTTGAAGTCAGCTGGAGACAGCAGTTTTGTCTCTTCTCACTTTCCGGGGCATGGGGCTGTGTGTTCAAAGTCCTTGTCATAGCTGTCTTCTCATTGTAGCAGGCACCCTCTGCTTATTTCATGTTGTGGGTGTCCCTCAAACCACACTCCTGATTATCTTCCCTGTCTTGTCCTCTGAGGTGGCAGAGCCTTGCTACAGGAGTGGCAAGGGGCTGTCATGAGAATGGCCACAAAATAACTGAGGCAGGACCTGGCATGGGAGTCTCTCTGGACACCATCCGTCTTGCCAGGGTTTATGATCTCTGTGATGGCAGGGAGTCAGGGGAGAGTGGGCACAGGGAGTACTATGGGGGAGCACCTTTCCCCTCTCTCATCACTGGCATCTTTTGATTTCAAAATGTTCTGTGCCCGGTGGGGTGACAGCTGGTTGGTGAACATTTTGCAGAAGAACTCAAACTCCATGACCCCATTTGGCTGCTTAATACACCATGCAGATGACATTCCTGAGAAGACATCTGCAGGTAACCTCACTAACCTCAAGTGACTGTGTTCCAGGATGAGGAGAGAACAGGGCATGGGGAGGTTGCTGCCTCTTGGCAAAGCCAGGAGATGCCTAATTTGGCCTGGGTCTTGCTTCTGGATTGGATTCAGCTTTGTTCTAGCAAGCTAGTGCTTGGGAGACCGTTGTGGGCTGTTCAGCCCCCACTGAACAGGTTTTCCAGCTGTGTCTGGTTGGAGCAGCCTGTCCATCAAGAATGCCAACAGCTGCTTTGGGACAGGGTGTTGTCATTCTAGCCCCCCTTTAAGAAGCTGTATTTTCATTACGTGATTTTCTGCTGTCATAGATAGTGAGATTAACTTTGCACTCTATCTCTGTATCTTTCATTGGATTCCAGCCAGTAATAGTCCCATATATTCCCAGACATACCCCATGTCCCCTTCGCTCTTGCCTTACTCACCTCTCCACTCTCCTCTTCCCACCTTTGTCTCTTGACACCTGCCTCTGTGTTATTGCTATGAAGCGTCCTTGGTGGGCAAGCTCCTGCCTGGCTCTCCTCTTCCTGCACAAAGGCTTGCACTGAGCCCTCTCCTCTAAAGCTTCGTTGGGGGCTCTTAGTGCCCTTTGCTGTTTCCTGATCCCCTCCCCACAGGCTATCTTCCTTCTCTGTTTACCCTGTAGGACTTGGGAGGCTGACATTGACTTTCTGGAAGTCTTGCAGCTGCTTTCTTGGCTCTGCTTGCACATGTGCTGCCTCACTCGGCAGAGCAAGGTCCACTGTAGTTGCCCTTCTCCATTCTGGCTCTCTTAGGACATTGTGTGGCAGCTCAGTGATTAATAGACTTTATTTTTATCTGGTGCCCTTCAGACATGTGATCCCTTGGGATAGAAATGACCTTTGGAGAGGTCATGAGCCCATCCCACCCCCCACCCCTGAACTAGGCAAAGAATGCTTTTAATAATCTCTAACACATCCTAAGTAGAGAGGTGTCTGGTCGCCCTTCTTGAATGTCCCCAGGGATGATGTTACCATGAGCTGCCCTTTTCCCATGATTCCAGCTGTTCGTTGAAATGATTGCTTCTCCCTAATAGGAGCTGGAAGTGTCCTCTCTGACAGGTCCCCTTGTCTTTTGTGCATCTGTGCCCAACAAATAGACACATTCAGCATTATTGTCTAACATCCCTTGTAGACTTGGTGGACCCAGGGTCTCATCTGTTATCTCTGTGCCATCCTGTTCCAATTCCCTTCAGGGTCTACATCTAAGCATAGCACTCCATTGCAAGTAGCAGCGAGGCTAAGTAGCTCAAAAACGACAGATGCTTTTCTTAGTTTGTTTTGTATACAGCTCTTAGCACAACCCACACCTGTAGAGAGTACCCTACTGCCCTGAGCAGTCAGTGCTCATCTGCCCCATGCCAGGGTCTCTCCAGGTGGTGTTCTTCTCTACTTCTGTATTTGATTACCTGGCCTTCCATAAATCACTGTGCATTTGGCCCTATGGAGTCTCAATAAACAGATATAATAATGTGTGACTTCAATATACAAGATTCAATAAAGGCAAATGTAAAAACAGTGCCCAGTAGTTAAATTTCATTCTCCACAGATTTGCAATCCCTGCCATTTTGGTATCATCTGTGGTTTGATTTGCATAATTCTCACTCCATCTTTTGAGTTATTTATGAAAACATTAGGTCACCTTGGACCCCAACACCTCTCTCCGGGTTTATAGGGAGTGGTAATTGCTATTTTTCAGATGCGATTGGGTTTAACCCTTCCTGGTTTGTGTTTCTGCATATGGTTGTCCTGTTGTGGTCCAAGCTTCCCTTTCATGATGGGTGTTGAAAATATCATCTTAGCTGATGGTTTCAGGTGATGATAGCTTGCTTCCTGCCTTTCACTCAGCTATTGAATTTATTCCATCTCAGAAATATTAAATCATCTGAATGTAACTTATTTTTTACGTAGTCTATGGTGTATATGTGAATGCTTCATTTTCCAGCAAGTAACCAGTGTCTCTTAATTATTTTGAAAGTTTACTCGGCTTAAAGAATAAAGTTCTGTTTCATTCTTCATGGTCTCTTGCCTATGGAAAAGTATTCATTGCCCACAAATAAAGCAGTTGCATGGGATTTTGGGAAAGACTATTGGTGTTTGTCAAAATGGGACCTGGACCACTTTCATAGGCATAACCTAATACTTATTAAAATGCAGATCCTAGGGCCTCACACCAGGCCTCCTGCATCGGGATCACAGGGAGTAGGCCTGGGGCCTGAATCTTCTGAGCCCTCTGGCATTTTTTTTTTTTTTTTTAATTTTTATATTTTGGCAGTACTGGGGATTGAACCCAGGGCCTTGCACTTGCTAGGTAAGCACTCTACCACTTGAGCCACACCCCAGTCCTTTTGCTTTTAGTTTGTTTTTCAAATAGGATCTTGTGCTTTTGTCCTGGCCTCCACCTCCCAAGTAGCTGAGATTATAGATGTGCACCACCATGTCTGGCCTCATGGCACTCTTACCTATGCTGGTGTTTGAGAATGACTGATCCTCTTCATTCAAACTTGAAGGCTTCTGGCTTCTGACTGCTTAGCCTTTTTTATTGTTCCCTGCTCTTTTTGCTTGGAAGTTTGTTTTTTTTTTTTTTTTTGGCTAGGTGAACACTTGAGCCATGTTGTTCCAGCCTTTTTTTGCCTTGGACTACGATCCTTCAGGTCTCTGCCTTCCGGGTAGCAGGGGTTATAGATGTGAGCCCCTGTACCCGGCTTGCCTGGAAGTTCTTGAGGCCCCAGGATTCTCCAGGCAGATGGCACTGGCTTGCATTGCTGTCGGCCTCTGTAGAATCTTTTCTTGCTATCCTTTTCTACAGTGATAAAACTCAGGAGCCTTGTGTCAAACTCAGTAATGCGGTGCTTGATTTTAATTTACTTAGTAGCTTTCAGTCCTCACAGGATCACTAGCCCATTTTATAGGTGGAATGATTGCAGCACAGGCACGTGATTTGGGGCTCCTGGGGTGCTTTTGCAGTCATTTCAAGAGTTTTTCTTTCCTTTTGTTAACTGCTCCCAGCCCTGAATTGTTCTGTGAGCATCACGGGGCAGACTCCTGATGAGAGACCACTTTTTCACTTTCTTTGCTCAAGGAACATGATGGAAAAGAAGATGGTGCTGCTGGAGAACATTCTGTCTCTAAGTGTTAGCCACTCGGAGGAGCAAAGGAAGCACCTGTGCTTTTGCTGGGCACAGTGAATGTGACTTGAGAAGTTTTTTTTCTCAGCTTTTTTCTGAATCACAGTGACAATTCCTGGTAATGGCAGCCCGCGCAGAGCACTGCGTCTAACATTTTACATGTATTTATGACATGAAGATCTGTCCACTATTGACGGATGACTTCTAGGTGTCACATTGGCTACTGGAGTCAGATAGTAATTAATAACTGAAGTGGAGTGGAATGGATTCTATGATTTCCAGCCTCTTTGATTTAAATCTATTAAAATCACTGCTCCCACCCCACAGTAGGGCCTTAGGTTGGATTAGTGACAAAAGGCAGGCAAATGTGACTGAGGTCCTCCTTGGAACCTGACTCACCTCTGAGTCACATCCGGTGTTCACATGTCAGGAGGGGTCCCCTCAGCTCTGACTTCCCATCAGTGGGATCTTGGGTCTCCAACACCTTGCCTGTGATGGAAACTGTGACTACACACAAGTGGTTTTCCTTCTAAAACCCCAGTGGGGGTGTCGCTGCATCCAGTGGAGCAATGTCAGAGTCAGGTCTGAGTTGCTTCCTGCTCTGAAATCTTGCTTCCTGGTGGAGGTGTGCTGGAGGGAGAAGGGTTTCAGGCTAAATCAGAGTCCAGTGGTTGTCTCGTCTTGGTTCTGCTCTCAGTGGCAAAGGTACTGCTTCCTCATTT